GAAGGAAGGAAGGAAGGAAGGAAGGAAGGAAGGAAGGAAGGAAGGAAGGAAGGAAGGAAGGAAGGAAGGAAGGAAAGAAAGAATATAATAGTGTTAAATAATGTTTGAAATAATGTTTATTTTCATTTAACTTCTGGAACAGTTTAAGTTATTAAAAGAGGCAAGGAAGGAATCTAAAAAGGACAAAAATCCCCTGAACTTAAAGATTATTAATAATAATTCTGATTATTTATTCGTTTTTTGTTTTGTTTTGTTTTTTTAAGGAAAATAGAGAGAGAGAGCCGGTAGTGCCTGCAGTGAGGATGGCTGCAGAGCTCAGGCAGGAGGTACGGAGGCCAGGCTGTCCAGTGACCATTGGCCATGCTGTTGTGTTTGTGTGTGCTGAGGCGTGTGTGCACGCCAGGGATAGAAGAAAGGCTTAGGCGACATTTTGGCTCTGCTGGAGCTGCTGCTGGGCTGGGCACTGGCCTGGTAGCACGAAGCAGGCAGCGTGTATATGTGTGAGCATGTTTATTGCATTATGCTGTGGCATGCTTAACAGGATTAGAGGTGACCTAGTGAGGTCCAGTTGGTACCGGGACCGCCGCACAGCGGCATGCATGCGCGTTTGTCTGTGTGTGTGGCTTGTATAATAGGATTAACCATTACCTGGTGCGGTACAGTTGGTGTGCTGCTCTGAACTGGACTGGGCTGAGCTGGGCAGGGGCTGGGCAGAGGGGGTGCTGTGTGCCCGTGAGTGTGTGTGTGAGAGTGTGGTGGCATGTATAATAGGATTAGGTGTTACCTGGTGAGGTGCAGTTGGTGCTGGGCATTTGCCAGCTGTTCTTCTAGGCTCAGGGCTTTGGTCTGCCATTGGCTTCCAACCCTTTGGGCCGCATCCAGACGCTGTCGACAGCAAACCAGCTCTGAGCTCAGACTTTCCACTTCCTGTCCCACAGAGAGGGAAGGAGAGGAGTTAGCGAGGCCAGGGAATCATTTACAACACCAGTCTTCTACCATCGCACATTTATAACACTAGACCATGATTACAAGGTAGTAAACATGATTACTGCTTGATAAGCAAAGAAAAAAAAACTATTTTCTAAATGAAGCTAAGAAATAAACCAACATTTTCTTATCTATAAGAACAGCTAAATAAAGTACAGATCTAGTAAAAAGTTTAATACTATAATCAATTGTAGAGATTGAAATATATTGCTCTAATCTACTAAAGCAGTAGCCTCAAACTCAAATTCTTGCAGAACATTGTCTTGAAACTTTTTCATGTGTCCCTTTTGCCCTACACACCTGAATAAATATGCTTAGCTACCTTACTAGCATCCAGTAAAGTTCTGCAGAGTTCTGCTAATCATATTGGTGTCGGGTGTGTTGAAGCAAAGACACATCGAAATTTTGCAAAAACCCAACCCCTCAAGGACTGAACCTTCAAACCTCTGTACTAAAAACTGGCTTGTATAAAAACCTATGCAAAACTGATCCACTAACCAGGTGCAGACTATGTTTGCATCTGTGACGTCAGCTTAACCCTTTATAGGCCACTCAGAGAAATATTTTGGACATCAGCATTTCGAGCCAATAGTGTTATAGGAATCCTGTACAAGACATTATAACTTTTGTAACATTGAAAATATGTATATGTTGATATCAAAAGTATATCTCATGAAACAGCCACTTGCCCTAATATATTAAGAAAAAGAACAAAAGTGCTTCATTAAGAAATTAACGAAAAACACTCCCAGAGTGAAAGAAACAGATTTTTTGTTACAGCATAACCTTAGAGTATTAAGAGTAGTACTTTTTTGACTTAGCTTATTGAGTTTTTAACTTTACTTTTTAACATTTCATTTAGCTTTTTTACTTTTTTCAACATAATTTACAGTAGGTAATATAAATCAAGGGGTCATCTAATTTGTCAAATGCCAGAACTACATGAACAGCCACATAGTAATAGATATAAATCTTGAGTTTCTAGACCTCACTGAGGGATGGGGGGGATTCCATTTGTATGGGGTATGCAAGTGATCAAAAATGGTAAGTTGCCCTATAAAGGGCTAATAGTATAACATATTCTCACCATAAGAAAATGCTAAATACTGGGAAGTGGTTTTACAAATGGAATAAAATACCACCTGCGCTGTGATTCATCAAACCTGAAACAAGTGGAAGCAGTTTCTGTGTCTATATTAAGACCACTTAAAGGCAGGCGCTAACTGACATGCAGATATATCTGCAACCATTGTGACAAGAAGGAAGCATAGGCGCAATGACAGACGGCAACATATTTGGACTTTCAGCAATGAAAAGAGACGTCGTCTTTCAAGTAATACTATTTTTGAGGGAAAACTCCTAGCTGTGTTGCTTTTCTGTCCATTTGTTAAACATATTTCAGGGTCAGAACGAATAAAATGCTGTAAATGAACGGAGATCAAAAAAGGAAAACAAGCAGGTACAGAAAAGTTTGACAACACACTTAAACCAATACGGTTGCAGTTAACAGTTTATATTAAAAAAAAAAAAAATGTCAAAGCAAGCTCTAAACAACTCGGGTTTTACCTTTGATTTGAAGCAACTTAGAGACTCTGCACTTTTACAGTTTTCTGGAAGCTTGTTTCCAATAAGTGGAGCAAAAGAAGTAAAGGATTTGAGGCAGAAAACTTGAGAGGTTTGTGTGTTTTATCCACTGACAACAAGTCTGGGTTTTTTTGTAACTTGTGGCTTACAACCGGTCTGTCTTTTGAGAAGGATTTTTTTTTTTTTTTTGACAAACTGCAGCACTGATGAACATGAAGGTGCTCTTTAAAAAAAAAAAGATAAAAGTTTTGTCTTCTGTTTTTGAACCTGTTGAAACATTTCTTAAAGATTTATTTTGGGAAAATCAAAAAAATTTTTTGCTCACTTTTCTTTTATAAAATATGCAATCGTTATAAGTAAAAAAAACAATACATAAATTCTTAATGTAATAAACAAATGTTTTTTTTTTGTTTTTGTTTTTTTATTCTGAGGTGTCTGAAATAATGATGTGCTGAAATTAAATTGCTTTCAGGAATTTTAAAAAAAAGGACCTTGGTTGGTTGCAACAGTTGGAATGATTCACGTCCCATGAAACAGAGAAGGTCCTTTGCCTTCTCCTCTGCCTTCTTCTCCACATAGGGATTATACCTACCATCTGTGTGCTGTACTGTTGCAAACCGAGTCTTTATGACAGAAATCCACTCTGCTCTCCTAAACTTTACAAAGCACAAACAAAATCCCCATTTAAAGAGGGCAGTCAGTACCAGTTCTGTACCGGCCATCCGTTGTAGCTAACCTGCAACATGCCACATAATGGAGCATACTTTATCTCTCCTCCTTTAAATATATAATTTAGAATTCGAAATTTATTTTTAAATGATATTTTTTCTGAATTCCTTTTATTTCATGGTATATTTATAATGTATTCGATTAATAAATAAATGCATTTCTAGACAAAGTTTATTTAAATTATCATTTTAAATTTGTTATTAATTATTTGGGACATTTAATTACTCAGTTGTATATTTTATAATATCATCACATATTTAAATCTAAATTAGATAAATAAGTCAAATTATTTAAAATAACTTTTTTAATTGATTTGAATATAACTCCGATTCCTCCATATGCCTCAAGGATCACTTCAAAAATAATAGTAAAAACCAATGTCCTGACCACCCAACAGATAATGAAAAGCAAAAATTAAGTCTCACAGGAAATCTTGTGCTTCATAAAATAAACAGATTCGTAGCCCAGAAATATTGTCCAGAAGACAGTATTTTATACTCCTCTGTGTAGAAGATAAGTAACAAAAGGTCTCCGTTAAAGAAGCTGCCTGTGTTTTTTAATGTAACACTGTATGAAAGGAAAATGTCTTGAATCAAGGGTTGGTTAAGGCGGTAGTTCCCAAACATTTATCTCCCCCCTCCTTTACTTTAGAAGATTTTTTTCTCATAACTTTTCAACAAGAAAAGTCAACAGCAGTAGATCAAATATTGCAGTAAAACAAAACACATTTAAAGCGTAATTACTTTAAGTGTAACTGTTTGTTTTACTGTGTGACATTAAAATACACAGACATTGCCATCGTAGAGGTCTGAGAACTAATGGGTTAGCGATTCCCAAGACTTGGACTGCAGGTAGAATTATTGCTTCAGTAGCCATTAAACACCTGAGACAAGCTGAAGGCCAGTGATTAGGCAGCATGGGCTTCCCTTGCACCATTTTTCAATCTATAGGCTGAAATAGCAGAAATATTACAATCATAGGTTGAACTGATAATTTATGTTAATCAGTTGCAAAAATAAAAAAAAATAAAATCAGCAGCTGAATGAAGACTAACCTGTGCAGCTTTTTCCAACTCTCGGCTTGTCTTGGCCTTTAGCTCTCTGAGCTCTCTCTCAGCCTCCTCTTTTTTCAGGCTGGCATTGCTGAGCTGATATCGCAGATCTATGGATACCTAAAGAAGAGCACAATGCATTAAAAAAAAAAAGCAGGTCAACATAGCAAATTATTCATAATTAGCTAGGTTTTAAGTGACTTGCAAACACCCCTGCTTTGATATACTTTAAAAGGATCACAAAATGTTTAACTTCCCTTATTGATGCATGTATGTTTTTTTTTTTTTTTACTTTTTATCTCCTTCTTGAAAGTCAAATGCCACATTAAACGAAACACCTCGAAACTGAAAACAATTAAATTCTTTATTCTATTTGGAATACAAATAAAATGCCAAAACTGATGTTCTGCTGCCATCTGCTGGAAAAACAGGGTCATTACAAATCTCCAATGTTTAAATAGCCTGCCTCAGTCTACAGCTTTAAGAATGGGACAAGCAGAAAAAGGGGAAGTAGGTCTTATATTTCAACCTCACTGCTGTGTCATGTTAAAGCTAAAGATGTCCGACCAGGATCTATGCTTGACATCAAGTCGAGGTATTATAAAAGCTGCAGTAAAGTGTAAACAGTTGCACCTTTGTGTTGTCTTGTTCCCAGTTGGATAGTTTGCTGAGAGCGTCCTCCAGCTGATTGGTCAGAGAGTTCTTGTCCCGGTGAGCTCGCTCTAGCTGCCCTTCCAGCTCAGCGACACGCTGAGAAAGGCCGGATGCCTGGAAAACAGACATTTACTTTGAAAGGCATCTTATGAGGAAATACATGCAATTAGCTTTATTTGACTTTATTACTTCAGTCACATTTAAAAAGATATCACTATGCCCTCAATCTTTGGCAATTGTACACATTTAAAATCTATAGATTTTCTAAGTGGATGGCCATGATTCCTTAGGGGTTTTTAGTCATGATGTAGTCCTCCAGATTTTTAGATCATGGCTTGAACAGAGATCTGTGAGATGTTCAAAAAGAGAATAATGTTGTTTTTGAACTTTCTCTCTAACCTGTCTGTTGCATCCTTATTGCTGCTTGTACATCAATGCTCTCTAAATAACACCTAAGGCCTCCTACAAACAGCTGCACCAATACAGCAATTAAGTCACACACAGCAGGTCTAAGCCCTGAAAGTTACGACTCAAAGCTCATTTAAAAATCCAATTAATAAGACTAATACACTGAACATTTTAAGGTTTGGATTTCTGAAATTTTTTAAAAGCAAATTATTTTCCTTCCTACCTTCTTTATAAATATTTACTGTATAAAACCCCAGTCAAACGCGCTGACTTGCTGGGTTTCATCACGTTAGGTGAGATTTACCATTTGTGCCAGCTCTTCCTTTTGTTTGCGCGCCTCCGCCCGGCCCTCCTCTCTGGCCTCTGTCATCTTGGCCTGCAGCACATGTGCTTCTCTGTCCAGCTGTTCCCTCCGGCGCGCCAGCTCCCTGGAAAGCTGCTCACACTGCACCTCCACCTACTCGCACACAAATAGATACGCAGAGCTCATCAGAAGGAGAGGAGAAAAGGAATGAAAATAGCAGACATGTTATGAGCAATACTCTGAAAACCGTTACTGACTCTAGTTTTTTGTAGATTTGCTTCTTCTGCCATCTCCACTGCCTGTTTAACCTGAAGACAGGCTGACCACTCCCTCTGCTGGGCCTCTTGCTGACTAGCCCGTACCGCACGCAGAGCTGCCAGTAATTCGTCCCGCTCCCTGAGACGTAAAGAGCACAGTCATTCTCTTTTTCGGATGGTTCTCCCAACTTCCGATGGCAGCCCTGACAACTTACTTAGTGAGCCTATCAATAGCCTGCACATGCAGATCTGCATGAGTTCCAGCCAGCACCGCCTCATGCTGCGCACACTGCACACACAACCCGGCCACACAGGGAGCTCCATCAGCTTTTGATGCTCCTGCAACCTGCTTCTCTTTGTGTCTCAGCCGAACCTTCACCTCCTCGCACTCCTTCTGGCTGACTGAGAGATCTTTTCTGTCAACAGCAGCAGAAAAGTGGATCAATCTCAAAAGGAACGAGGGAGAGAAAAAATATGCCGTGTATAGCTTTGAAAAGACTGACCTGAGAGAAACCAGCTGAGCCTCCAAGCTTTCAATCTGGGCCTGGTGGATCACTTTAAGCTGCTCCTTTATAGTGACAGGAGAGATCGATGTCAGGGCATCAAATAATATACTGCCAACAGCATTTATACAACATGAACTAAATGGAAAATGTGTCAAACAAAAATACACATATAAATATTATACATATGAGCCAACATTTAATAAAACTGTATTATGGACAACCAGACTCCAGGTTCAGGTTTCTCAAGACTAACTATCTTTTCAACCCCCCCCCCTTAATTCTATTTGCCAAAAGACCAATAAAATTAAGAAACAAGATAAGTACTACATACATTTATCCAAGAAGTGTGAATTCTGCAGTTCACTGACTCAATCTGCTGGGTTTCCATATTTGGAAAACTTTTCACCCAATCTGTCTGTGGGATTTCATTGAACTGACTCTATAAAGTACCTTGAGATGGCATGCATCAAGCAATAATAATAACTGAACTGTATTGATCTCACATTGGACAAATTTAGCTCTGCATTTGACCCATCCCTTTGGGGAGCAGTGGGCTGCCATCGTGTGGTGCCCGGGGAGCAGTTTGAGGTTAACGGTCTTTGCTCAGGAACCCAGAGTTCAGGCTGTGGGGATTGAACCGTGCATTTGAAGCCCTCTCAGAACACAAACGCACTGCTCTAACCACTATGCCAACACTCCCCTAAATAATCTCTAATCTAAACAATCTCCTATGCTCAGAAGCAGGCGTCTGGTTACCTTCAGACAAGTCCTTTAACTTCACACACCTGAAGTAAATAAACAAGCTGCCTTGCTAGCATGTAGCCAGTCTCTGCAGAGCACTGCTAAGGAGCACATAATGATGTTGAAGCAGAGACACATCTAAATGTTGAAGGAAACCAGCCCTAAAGGACTGCAGTTTAGGACCATAATGGATTAATTTACCTCAAGGAGCATCAAAGTTCATAATTCAACAAAAGAGAGGATGTAGGGGGAAAAAAGATCCCTGCATGATTTTATTTTGACCAGCATTTCTGGCATTTTTAAACCAAAACCCCTTGATGATCCCAGTTTACCTTTGGACAAATATTTGGTGAAACAAAAGTGAAGTTTTCTGAAAGTCTTACATCCCGTTACATCTTGAGTGCAAATCACAACATATAAGAAACAAAGATCAAGAACAGTAGTGATAGTATAATCATTGGAATCAGTTTGCCGCTGCAGGATCCAGAAAACATGCATTCATTGCACACTGTACCACAAAGCTTTACAGCAGGGCATATCCAGCCTCTCAGAAGTATCTGTGTTCCCAACACCTCCTCTGTACGCAGTAAAGTTACCCTGAGTCCTCCTAATGACTTGATTGTTGGACTCAGGTGTGTTAAAGCAGGGACAGGACACCAGAGCTAGAGGACCAGGATTAAAGAAACCCGCCTTAAAGAAGTGTCCAACCAGCAGTCCAACCCATGAAACTGAGCCTAACCCTAACCCACACCGCATCAACGAGCTCACCACTGAAGTTTTTTTAATTACTTTTCCCATGTATTATTCTAAAAGCTGATATTTAATTAATACCCTGAGCTAAATCTGGACTGCAATGGAATTAAGATGTTGTTAAATGACTTTAAATCAGCTGTTTGCTGGGAGACAATCTGTAAAGAAGACTTAGTAACATGTAAAATGTGGTAAGGCATCTAAAAGACTAAAGTGTGGGGAAAAAGGACAAACTTAAAATACAGGAGAGCAGTGAGCATGCACTTTTTAATGTTTATGTGCATTGCTTTATTTTGTAAAAGAGGCTTCCAGATATGAAAAGGCTGAAAACTTATTGTAACACAAATAAGGGATTTATGCATACCCTCATTGTGCTTACCAGATCATTTTTCCATGTGTTTGTCTCTGTTTTTGAGGATATCACACTGTCTTCACACCCCTGAAGAAATAACACATACAGGTAACCATATAAACTCTTGGATTACTTGTTAATTATCACAACTCTAATTATTATATAGATTTAACAAATCTTTCAGAGTTCTATCAATGACCTTTGATTTGAGCTCCGACTGTAGCTTCTCATTTTCAACCACCACAACTCTGATCCGCTGTTTCAGTTCCTGCAACTCCTCCTAAAGAAAAACATGCACAGGAAGCGGGTGAAAACTCACAGTAATTCTGACCAGATTTTTTATTAGAGCTGGGCGATAAGGCTGAACAATTTAATCGTTGATATTTTTTTCTATATAAAAATCCAATTAATCAATCTCTCTTTTTGCACTTACGTTTAAAAATAAAAATTCTAAATTAAATATATGAAAATAAAATGACAGAAAAATTGCTTTTATTAAAATACAACATAGCAGATGTTTGCAACTAGTAGAATTACACAGTAAGCTAGTTTATCAGTTATAAGGAGAAATCTATAGATAAAAAGTAATGCAGTGATGTTAGTCTGAGTTATCGAAACCCGAGGAGTGGTTGGTATAAAAAAAATCTACATTTTTCAAAAAATAAATCTTCATAAACCAAAAAACTGATTAAATGATAAACTTGATTATTGCCCAGCCCCGTTATATACACACATACAATGCCATTGTCACATATTGACAAGGGAATGGCGGGATCTCTAAAACTCTTTTAGATAAATGTATTGATTAATTATATGTCTATTTGGGTAAATTTTTTAAAAAATGTGATGAAATACATCTTTAGCTGCAGTAAAATCCCATTTTGACATCCACTGCAGCCAGTGAACCTATGAAATAATTTATTGTTTGTTTGTGTTTTTCCTTCCACAGAAAAAAATATATTAGAATGAACTTTTTTTGAGCATTCAGTGAGGAGATTTTCTACTGCAGTAAATTATAAGCTTAGGCTAAATATTCTGCTACCTCATTTTAGGGGTCATCATTATATGGAGAGGATTCTGTTTGTATACGTACACATTTATGAGTACAAACCTTGCAGAACTTTACTTCAGCCTCTAGGTGCTGGATGTACCCTGACTGGTCATAATTCATAGGAATCAAGTCCTGAAAGGCAGGTAAACTGGGCCTGGCTTCCTGCTGCGCCCTCTAAAGGGGGAAGAATCATCAAATGGCACAACATTAAGTACTGAAATTATCGTTAAGCCATAATTTTAATCATTAACAGGGCTGATTAGAAAGTATTGAGTCCCAATAAATGTTTAATAATTAATGCAACACGTGTACCTTGGATGGAGATCGTCTCTCTGGAAGAGGCAGAGAGGAGGAGATTTCCCTGCCCTGCTTTAGAAGGAGGCTCTTCAGCTGGTTAACTGCACAAAAAAACAAACAAGACAGGTTTCAGTATAGTGTAGCTGTATTCTTTATATACAGACGGTTTAGTTACAGTGATTCACCAGCTTCACTCTGCGTCTTGTGACTCCACGCTGCCTTGTCCTCTTCAGCCGCTGCTGTGAGGAGGTTAGCTCCACCGGGTTGGACGTCCTCTCCATCAGGGTCCAGCTGCTCCAGAGTGCTTCTCAGCTGCTGGAAGCTCAGGTTAGCTCGCTCTGAAATGGCCAAACACATAATAGCATCATGTGGAAGTAAAACAGTTGCAGTATTTCAGCTCAGTGGTAATATACAAGCAATGATACATTAACTGATGGATTAGGATTGATGTTTTGACAAAATAGGGTAAAAGTATTATTTGGCTATACAGGTTTTATTATAGTCCTATAACTTTTTCTTTTTTCGGTCCATAAATGGAAGATTTTCACTCCCACAAATTGCAGTCACTTCCACACTTGAACAGCAGGTGGAGTAAGATTTAGAGAGGACTGTAAAACGTACTCCACACAGGAGTAAAAAAAAAAAAAACCTTTTAATAAAAACTTGCATAGATAAAATGTTTTGGGACTCATGAGACCCTCGCTGTAATTCTTATATAATGTATGGTTTGACCAGTTTAATTTTGTCTGAAGCAAACTTCCCACGTTTGGTACTGATATTCTGCCACCTTACTGGAGGAGGTTGCAGCTAACGCTCCATATGTAGTTGGCACTAAGAAACATTTTTCGACATTTAACATAACTAGGAGAAAAGAAAATATAAATATCAAATTCAACAGATTATTATTATGTTTGCATGATGAAAAATTAAACAATAAAGAAAAAAAACCACATATAGAATAATTAGGACTCTCCAAAGTCCTAAACCAAATGGCCCTAAATAGTTAAAAATAGGCTGCTGTTCTTTTCTACCTCTCCTGGTCGCCTGGCAGAGATGTTAAAAGACCTGATGAACTCAGTGAGCCCAGCAGGTGACATCACTGATGTCTCACAGTACGTTCAATGGACATATTGTGCACAAACAAATGTTTAACCACTCATTTATAATATATAAACTGGCCGGATGATAGGGGTGAGTATCGGCATGGGTGTTGCGATAAGATATGTATTGCGTACTTGGATCATGATACGATATTGCATTGTCACTATATATTGCGATATTTTTTCCATCCATCAAAATAAAATGTATTTAAAAAAAGCAAGTGCTGTATATGTTCATCGGAAGATATTGATCATTTGGTTATTTTGATATCCATGTTGTTTGGTGTCTGAGACAGTCCACAATTTCCACTCTGACTGCCTCAACTATAGATGTGGCGCTACAACGCACTGAGGTAGCCCATTTTCCCTTATAGTTTTAAGTAAAAGTGTTTTTGTTTTCAAAAAAATCAATACTAGGAACTGAAAGATCGAAATTATATCAGGCACAGGAAAATCACGATATATCGCCAAAGCGATTTTCTTCCCACACCACTACTGGATAAATATACATTTTTCTCTTTATTTTAATTCTGAATTCAATTATTTAAATAACATTGAATATTAATGCTTTAAACATCTTAATAATTTTACAGTTTTATCTGTGAATTGCTAGATACAAAAAAATTGAATTGTTTTTAGTGTCCTTTTCGGCTTCCCGTACTTTTGTTTTTGAGAGAACTTTTTCATTGACATAATGACGGTCAGGGTTATCTTATAGTCATATGTTAAACATGGAGCAAAAATTAACCATTTAACAACTTGTATATGTTTGAACGCTACTTTACCAGCGAGTTAGAAAACACGGCTCAATAAAAGCGTTAGCTTACGTCTTTGCTCCTTCTGCTTGGCGCCCAGGTGCTCTGCCTCCTCTTCATCTGACTCAAATGCTTTCATTGATAAATATAACCTACATAAAATCCTAAACACAGAGTCAATAAAGCTGCAAGGCTACACACATCAGCCCAACAACAGCCATTATAACAAAGACGTCATAACGGACTCAGGAAAAGCGGCGTTAGTTTTTCACACCCTTGCTTGTAACGAAAACGACATAGTCATTTTGTTTAATTGACGACTTCACCGCCCCCCTCTAAAACACCCCAGTGAGTTGCCGGTACATAGATAAAGCACCCATCTGCAGTGCTACTGAGGTTCGCACTTCCGTAAACACAAAGTAATTATGGGAAATGTAGTCTTTTCAGCTTTGATTTGGCAGATTCTGTAGTGAGTAAATGTCTAAAAAATTATATACTTATATTATAATTTTTTATTATAAAATTATAATATAAGTATTTGTAGGCTTATGCTTCAATGGGATTAGATATGATGGCTTTAAAGTTGTGCCGTGGTATAAACATTTTAATGCTAAAATGTAAAAATACTATGTACGTATATCACCCAAACTTTTTTTTTTTTTTTACATGAGGTATATTTTTCAACATCACATAGTCACGCTGATACTTTTTGTATTAATTTGTGCATCAAGTCATAATGCTAACACCTTTTAAAAGCCTAACCAGGGACGAAGGCTGCAAATTAGCCCATGGCTACAAGCCTTATGTACTTGGACATCGGCCACCTGTTTAGTTGCAATGTTTAATTGTACTGTCCCTGTCAAATAAACAAATAAATAAATAAATAAATAACACCCCAATATGTCATACTGGGTATATATAGTATTTAAAAAAATTTTTTTATAAAATGTTTATTAAAAAAAGACACAACAAAAAAAGGTCATGTCAATTTGCCTGTGTAATTTGGCATTAGAGATTAAAGTGCATGGTGGTTTCTCAACATCATTTTGTGATGGACTTGCAACCTGTCTAGGGTGTAGCTCTGCCACCTAGTGGTAGAAAGAAACAACAACAGAAGAAAAAAAAAAGCCCAAAACTTAATAATTTCAACAAGCAATAATTAAATCTGTTAGTGTAACTTTTAGAAATGTTATTATATTTATCTTTAGTTACAGTAAAAGCTACATGAACAATAGGATATTAGTTATTGGAATTTGACTAATTTTGATATAACCAGAGAGAGGAAATAGCTTCTATCTTTGAGGAAACTGGGTTTATGTGCTGTTGGACTTGCTGATAGCAGTTAGTCATTTCAGCAACTATGATGCAGTTTGTGATTAAGGAAGAACATCTCTACATCTGAAAATGTCCAGCTGGTTGGAAATTTGAAAATGAGCAACAGTATTACTCTGGAAAAGAAGAGACATATTTCTGGTGAACCTACCACACCTATCTTGTTGCACCTAAAACAGAAAATAATATAATAGTTGGCAATTATAGAATTGTATCCTTTTTGTATTGTATGAAGCTAGCTTGCTTATAAAATCTTACATTATTACTACATCATCAATAATATAACTGGAACTATTCTAGGCTATAATATATATCTAGGACTGCTATTCTGGGAAATAAAGTCATTATTTTATTTCTATGCATTTGAATGTAAACAATGCTAGTAGTTGACGGCATAGGCCAAAAATAAATGGACTATCTTATATCTTCAGAGTTAATCTAAGATTATTCTTCTTTTACATACCTTTATTAAGAGAATCACTATGTTCTTTGATATGTAAATTCATCATTTCATAGCCGGTCACTTTTTTGGGATGTGTGAAAGTCACTACATTTATACATGACTGATTCTTTTATTATATCAATTGGCCAAAAATGGTATAACATGTTACATTGCCAGCTTATTATAATTACACAATTTTAAACTTACAACTTTTTTAATTGCAAAATTTGTTGAATACCTTTTTTATTGTTCTTTCATATCCTTTAGTGACATACTTTAAAGGATTAGCCTTTGGTTTTTTTTCATATTAGGTTTTTAAGCATTTACCACCAATGACACCCTTGGTGTCAGATTCTTTGGTGTGAGGGGCCATGAGAGCAACATTTAAATATTCAAGCTAGTATGTGAAGACATGTTTAGCTTTTCTATTACAGTAATATTCTCCTAGATAAGAAATGTTTTTGAATAAAAAATAAATAAAAGTGCATTCATAAAAATGTATTTTAAGAAGAAGCTCATTTTGGTGTTGGCTCCTCTAGCAACTAGCTTTGATGTAAAAAAAAAAAAAAAAAAACAGACGGAGATTGTATACATTTTTGCATCAGTTTAATCCTATTTCAGAAAGTGAATGTGACCAAAAATCTTTATTTTTATTATCATTGTGAGCTTAACACAGGAAGATCATTGGCACTGCCTCCAACCTCCAATTTCAGAGTAATCACAGAGGTTAAATAATTGTCTGATGAAATCATTAGATGAAAACCAGTACAACATATTTAAGACTGGAGTTCTTTTAAAATGGAACATTTTAACGGATCTTGATCCATTTTTAACTATAGCTGCGCTTCATCCTCCATGATCAACTTATCTGGAGTTACAATCAAAAGAGCTATCAACTGCATTTAAGATATTTGATACCATCAGCCTACAAATCGTTTCCTCAAAGCTCCTGAACAATCCCTAGAAACTCAGCATTTTTTGTGTTTTGAAATTTGCTCTAATTGTTTCAGAGTTTTCAACCCCAGATTATTTGTCCTCATGCAATTGGCAATCTGTTATATTATACACTCTCCTGATTTGGAATAAAACCTTGCAAATGTAAGGATTAACTGGCAGTGCTCATTTTTTCTTCAGACTCTTAAAATATCATCTTCCTCAACACCTAAAACGTTTCTGATCTCTGACCTCCAAAACTTCTCTATTATTCTATTATTTGAAATCAAAGTCAAACAGGAACTGAAGTATTTAATCAATCAAATTTCTGTTAAAGCTCTTTTTATTACTATTTTGTTTTTCAATTTATTATTTAATGCTATTTTGAGGCGAACATCCAGGACCAATAATGCTCCAGTTATTTTCTAATTATGAGCTGTATGTTTCAGATCTATAAACTAAATGTCAGAACTTTTGGTTGCTATTAAAAACCGACCCACTCAGATTCGGGGGGGGGGGGCGGGGGTTCTTGGTGTGGTTCCATGCAGTGGAAAGTAATAGCCAGTGATTATAGTGGTGCTGACAAAATGGTCAAAGTTGCCATGGATACAACCTCTTCCTATTGCACAATAGCAGAAAACTTCCTGTGGAACAAGCGGTAGCTGTACTTTTGATTTTTGCGACATTTTCGGTGTTCAGCAGAAGAGCCGATGAGTCAGAGTGGGGCGCATTCATTCATAAACTGACAATGCTTTCTCAACTAGGTTTGACATTTTCACTTCTAGTTTATTTCTGACAGCTTAAACACAGAGCTGAATCGGCCCTGAGAGGCTTTTGTTGCTGAGTAAATTTCAGTTTTGTGCAGCCTCTGACTTCAAAGAACATCAAAAGCAACACGCTTTTGTTCCACGCACAACTTTGACAGCGAGTTCTTTGGAATAAATTGTGTCACTAAAGGGACATTTTGAAAAACCTCGGTAATCCCATGGTACCTTGCAACTGCACTCAATGAAGCTCTCTAATCCAACATAAGATAACAGCAGTATGTATTAGATGCACATGTCACACAAACATTCTCTCATTTGACTTTTTGCTAAATAATAACACTTTTTTCTAATTTTGCTTTAGTATAATATGCTCAGTGCTATTATTACCCTTCAGTCTTTGAATTGTGACCACTTCTGAGTTCTTTATTATTGCTGAAAAATTGTAGCCAAATGAAATCACCCTTCTTTGACTTTAACATCCTCCATCAGAGGCTTATCCAGCACTCAGAGCACTGATTTTACAGGAACGCTGAGCCATTCTCGTGATGATTTGACCATGACTTTTGTTAAAATGTCCTGGTGTTTAAAACAACAAGGCTGCAAAACAGTACAACAGTGTTACAGATTATCCAATATGCTTAACAATGGGCATGAAGGTCTTTTTTTTAATATTGTTTTTCTATTTTTTTTTGTACGTCTCAGACTGAAGTATTGAAGGACAAGATCAGATTAAAAATGTGTATTTGTTGCAAAGGGCAGGAAACCCTGGAAACCTGGGACAGGATAATTTCCCTAATAGCTTTAATAGAGTGTATAGATCTCCAGTTTGACCCTTGACCCAAGCAGAGAATGAGAAAGGGTACAGTAAAAGGGAACGTTTAAAAAAGAAATTCAGTAATAAATATAAGAAGAAGCAAAAGATTTAGTTAACAAAAGAGTTTCTCGTGGCTAAATTGAAATAAAGTCAGAAAAATCTATGCATAGACTCTGTTGGGATCTGGAGATCTGCCACCTGTCTCCAGCAGAGAGCGCTGTGGGTCTCCTGGGCTGGAGCCTCCAGCACACCTGAGGATCATCAGCCCATCAGGAGACCTCCTACATAAGCAGCAGCCAGACCTGTCTTCTTCGCCGGAGTGTTGACCAGTTTTGGTTAGCGGAACCTGCGCCTCTGTTACACGTTGAGAATCTCAGTCTACTCTTGAGAGAAACTAGATTCTAACCAGCCTCTGTCCTCTCTGCTCACAGGAAAGTCTGTCTGAAGTCTGTAGCTCTGGAGGAGCTAGCTTGGAAACCTGCCTGCCTGCCCTAGGAAGCCAAACCTGAAGACAATCAGTCTGGATTCCCCAGCCAGCTCTCAAGGGAGAGCTAGGACATCACTTCAAGGTCTAAAACTCTCTAGTCTGAAGCTAGACGCTGCTGTTGCTGAGCTCTCTGCTGAACCCACTGTCTCTGGACCCAATTGGTTCCCCCTCTCCAGTGATCTGTCTGAACCTCATCAAGGTACAAATCTGAATCAAACATCAATCAAGTCTTCTCCGCTGCCTGGCTAACCAAACAATCCATCTCTGCAGATTCTCAGTGATTGCTGTCCCGGACCTGTACCAGAACCAGCTCTTGTTATTCTGTGTGCTCAACCTTTAATAAACTGTTAAACTTTTACCCCGTTTCTGTGGTGTTCTGCATGTGGGTTTATACACTAGAGACCCATTATGACAGACTCCAGTTTTGAATAAAGTAAACCTTTCAGTACCTTTAATGAAGAATATTTTCATAATTTCTGTAGTCCTGATTTTACACATCACTCACCTTGAAGTATGTTATCTCACATAACAAAACTGTAAATATAATTATTGTGTTACCTGAAGGTACAGAACAAAACAACACAAAAAATTAAATCTTAATTAAAATCTGGTTTCAAATGGACTGCAGAAGAAGATAGAGATGGATAACATGAGAGATGTTCTGATTTAATATCAAAACATAAGGAGTTTTTAAAATTCTGAATTATTAGCCTGATCAACCTGCACCAATGTTGGAGAACTAAATAATGGGGATGTAACCTTAGTGAAAACTATTAGTCATTCTTCCTCTTCTGTTGATTATGGTATATAGAATTACAGTTTATGGGAATATATGAAAAACAAACCCCTTGTTTCACAATTAAAAATTTCACATTCCCAAATCGCAAAAAAATATTAGGCAAGGCAAGGCAAATTTATTTCTATAGCACAATTCAGTACAAAGACAATGCAAAGTGCTTTACATGATTAAAATATAGGAAAATAAAACAGAATCAAAGCAAGTAGGAAAAAAAAATAAATAAAAAAATAAATAAAATAAAATGAAAAATGCAGAAAAAAAAAAGAATATTAAAAACAGTTGGACTATAATAGGTTTCTATTCTCATCAATGCTTCTTTTTAAGGTATAAAGAAATTATTTCAGCTATTTTGACTTTGTTCATATGGAAATTGTCACAAGGAAACATTATTTCAACACCTTACTGCTGTTTTAACCAATTTTCTCTCTGGCATTTTTTGGTAATGGTGTTTTAGCATTATTAATATAATTAGGATTAAATATTTTCATCAAGCACCATACAGGAAAAAGAAGCCTTTAGTCTGAATTTAAATTTCAGAGTTTAAACATGAATCCTCATTTTGACCTAGTTAAGTTTGCTTTAGGTGTTGTTCCCAAAATCCGATTATTTGATAGATTGGAGGTACTTTAATCATTAAAAAAATGCTTCAGTAGGTCTTGGTCTAACAATTAGATTTAGGCTCAAACTAAAGCGTATGGATAAGCGGCCCAGAGGTCCCATATTTGGCCTGGTACAACAGAAAAGGTTGTTTTTGTTGAAATAAACTCCTACACACTTGGAACATAAAAGCTATTCTTGAGACTTGGTGACCTTAAAGATGCAGCTTTTTGCTGCAGATCTTTAACAGGAAACTTTGTTTTTATCAGATCTAAACCGTTTTATTCGCTTTAGATATTAATCTGACCATACGGCCAGTTTAGATGAGTAGCTGTTTTCTTGTAGCCATTTTTAGCCACACATCAGCCTCAATGCAGCAAAATGTTTCCTTATCTAGTTTGATATATGGAGTTTTTAAAATTGGGTCCCTCTTTTATAATTTTTTGAATGTTTTGTCATATATTTAATTGGGAAAATATCAAAAATTTGACTCTTTGATACAATGTAAGGTAGTCCATAAACAGAACAATAACTATTAATTTATTGACCCAACTCCTAACTTTTATGTATAAACTGCTGCTAATAAAATTGAAAATCTCAACTAATCCTCAACTTGACCCCTTAGAGCGAATAACTTTTTAAGGATCCACTTCAAAGAAAGTATTTCTCTACCTAAAGATGGTCTGAGCTATGAGATGATTGTCAACCTATCATTGCACAAACCAGACATCTGACGCTGCAGAACTGGAGAGCTCCTTCAGTGACAGACTTCTGCACCCTAAATGCATCAGGGAGTGTTATCACATATCCTTCCTTCCAGCTGATTTTGCAGTTTCTAGACAATTAAATAACATGCTGCTGTCATTTTGTACATCTTTAATGTTGCTGCTACTTTCAACTATCCATTACTGTAAAAATGTCCATAGCTTTATATTGGATACTTAGTCTCCAGGTGCACTGTTTTTATATTGTTAAAACACTTTACAGTATTTTATTTTTTATCTTTTAACTCTTCACTATTATGTTATTCTTATACATTTTTCTAAGGTCCACATTTGTATGACCATTAATCTTTTTGCTGCTGTAAACACCAGAATTCCCTCATAGTGGGACAATAAAGGTATTTTCTATTCTATTCTATTCTATTCTATTCTATTCTATTCTATTCTATTCTATTCTATTCTATTCTATTCTATTCGTCAGCCAGTTTGCTAAAGACAGGCAGACCATAAGGACATGGAATACTGGAACCCTGTCCTGTGGTCTAATCAGACCGAGATAAACTCATATGGTTTGGATGGTGTGAGGCGTGTGTGGTGGCAACCAGGTAAAGGTTACAAAGAAAAGTGTGTCTTGCCTTTAATCAAGCATAGTGGTGGGAGTATTGTGGTTTGGGGGTGCTGAATGCTGAAGGGAACTATAGCTCATTCGGTATGCCTGACATCCTGAAACTGGGCCAAAGGGCAGCATTCAAACAAGATGAAGGCCCCAAAAACGCATCTGAAGAGGACCACTGCTTAAGGTGCTGTCCTCAGACCTAAAGCCTGTTGAGCCATCTGTGCGTCATCCTCAGAGTAAGAGGTCCATCAACCAGCTCAATAATATCTACACGGAGGAGAGGATCCAAGTGGAAACCTGTGAAGCTCTGTTCAACTCAGAGCTAATAATAAAGTAGACCTTAAAAGAACAGAAATTATTACTATTAGATTGTCTGTACAGATTATATAACATATAATATTCATTCTGTAAAAGTTTAAAAAACAATCCACTGGACTTGGTTTCCAAGATTTGAAGACACTTCGCTACCTCTCCAGGAAGCTTTCTCATTCAAATTGAGTCTTCAAAACTTGGAAACCAAGTCCAGTGGATTGTTTTTTGAACTTTTACGGAATGGCTATGACCTGGATGACTGAGAATCTTCATCAGCATACATATAATAAGTTTATGTTACATAAAGATATGTGCAAACACGTGAGAAGTGTACTCACTCATATGAGACACTATTTTCCTTTTAAAGGCTGATGCATTTTAATTTTTTCAACATACTTTCTATGCATTATCTCAACAAAGGCCAATAAATAAGCTTCCTAACTGTGATCTTACACTGGACAGGGGCTCATATAACAGGCTGCTACTTTTGTTGTCAGAGGAAAATTTTTTGTTTTGTTTTATAAATGTATTTGCGTGCCTGGGTATTTCCAGGAAACCACATTGGCCAACCACAAGAAGCCTACGCAAACCCCGCTGTCCCACTCTTCTTAAATGTCCCTGTCTCAGCCTTTGTAACCAGTTCCCCATCTCTTAACTGCCATTATCTCCACTCACTCCAAACTTCCCCTCCCACCAGATCATCTATTCCTCCCAAGTGAGCTCTTTATTATATCTTATTTTTACCAGAGGGTGGGGGATCCCTTTTTTCAGAAGTATAAAAAAACATATCACACTCTAACAATAGCGTGGGAAAAAAAAAGAATAATGTGAAAAAGTACCCAAAAAAAGTCACTATTTCAACTTGACTTTATGGAAATTAGTAAAAACAAAAAATAGAAACACACAAGAGAGGAAGAGGGAAGATGTGTGTATGGGGGGGTGGGGGTAAACTAGGTCTGTATACAGTAAAAATGGAGCTTTGTGCCACATCTGAACCAGGCGTCTGTGATCTGCTATCTTTTTTGCAGCACCCACAGAACTTCCTACACTGAAGATGGATTCAGAAAACAGATGCTTTTCTTTTTTTTTTTCTAGAAATAGCACAGAGAAATAGACGTCTTCGGGGAAATGCTACGATTGTGCAACAATGAGCCTCAGGCGGCATAAAGGTTTACTTCAACGTATGGTGGAGTGTTTACGCTTGTGTTCTATAATTACGCTTCTTCCTCTCAAACAGAAACACGTCAACGCAGTGACACAGTTCAGTTATGTAGAAATATTATTCAAAAGTTTATTGCAAATTTAAAAATAAAATCATTTTACACCCAGCAGTAATTTTAATAAAACTAACCGAAGTTCTTTAGGGTTACTTTTTGTTGCAAATCTGCTAATTTTATATGCAAAATGATGCATCTGTATTGAAGCATTGAAAAATGGTGTTTTCGAAGATGAGACACAAACTGTATTTTATTTTATAAAGATATATGGGCTTCTCATTTAATGTAAAAGACTGCTTTGTGGTCTTTCCTTTGACAGTCTTCAGATATGACCAGTAGACAGTATATTCCTGGATATTATTGGAAACTTGAGTGGAAGGAAAATGCTTCGTAGTTAAAAAAAAAGTGAAGAAGCAACAAACCCATGAATGTGTTTAAGTGTGACAGCTTCCATACTGGATGCATTCACTGATACAAGACCAGCCCTTACCACAGCACGGAAAATCTACTCTCTACTTTGCTTAGGGTGATGCTTCTCTGGTATAAAATATCTAATGTTACATTAGAATATTGAAAGATACTTCATGTTGAATTCATATGAGCTGTATTGCAATACTTAGAACTTAACTTTGCATTTATTTGCTATTACCGTCACTACTAACCAAAATAAAAGCTTCAATCCAGTTTTAGTCTCATTTTTAGCAGTCTTGTTAAAGCAGCCATTCAAGCAGAACCACACACACACACACACACACACACACAATACGAGCCAAGAACCACAATAGTCAAGAGTTCTAGTAAAAATAATTCATATTTTCACAACATATAAATTATTGAATCACACAATACAGATATTTTGATATGAATAAATACTTAACAAATAAAACCAGGCTTTTTTTTCATACAATATCCTACTGTCAAAAGAAACCTCCAAACAATTTGCATGTTTTGTTACACCTTCTGCTTTAAACCAATGCTTTCTCTACCGGTGGAATGTCCCTAGACAAGTCCTAAATGCCTCAGCAGCTTAGACAAATTATGTGCAATTTATATGATCTCTTCCCAGGCAAATAACAAAACAAAAAAAACATGTCAGAACCCACCTCCAAAAATCTGTTAGGATGGGTCCCGATGAGCTGACCGCTAATTGGTCTTTAATTGATTAAGGTTCGTCTAGAGGTGATTAAAGCACAGAGATCTACGCACGGGCCGTCAGCATGTGTGGGCTGGCCCGACAGCTTCAGTTACAGTTGAATGAAAAAGGCAGACCGGGAGCCTGGTTGTCATTTCTACACTACAGCCACAGATGGACATCTAGAGGAGTGGGCGTTTGGCAGCGGTCTGAGGCGAATGACTGTTGCTTTTCAGGGTATCTGCAGATACATATTTTCTCACTGGTCAAACCAAACAGACATTCAGGGAAAGAAAAGGGGAATCTTCATGTAAGGTAACATAGGATCGGAGATGTCAATATGTGGCACTTTTAAGTTTGTCTAGAATAACCCAGGCTGGCCGTTTTAAGGAGGTAACAACAACTGTTTTGATGGCACATTTTTTTCTTTTTTTTTTTTTGTCTTTTGGCAAAAAGAAGAAAAAAAACAAACAAATTTATCAAAATACATTAAAAACTTCCAAAACCAACAAAAGGAAAAACAGAAATGTCAGTTTTGTCTGTGTGTGTATCATACAGACGCACAGAGCCGTGCATTCTGCTGTTTGTGTTGTAAAATGAGGCATCGGGTTGGAAGGTCCTACAATATGGACTAGGTTCCATATTCACAAAACCATTTTGAAAGGTGGGAGGGCTGATCTGTGACACCCATCAGGCCCCCAACACACCTATTATGGTCTGTAACATTTCAGAAGTACTTAAAGGCAAAACTTATCAAAGATGAGCCCCGATAGCAGCGCCGTCACGAGAAAAACGGCACTAAACACATTCAGATGGGATTGCTCTCAGACGCCCCATACTCATTCCCATATATCCGACTGGAGCGAAAAAAGAGCAATGAACCTTTTAAGGGTTTATTGACTGACGCGTCGCCAGGGGTCGTGTTTACAATCTCACCGGAGCTGCGTTTGCATGTGCAAATGTGTGTCATGTGTCTCACTGGTAGGACCGGAACTACTACAATACAGTATGTGTGCGTGTAAATGTTTCTAGGTGCTTAAATTGCAAGTAAACATGAAAACAATGTCCAAGGCAACAGATCTGTTTTGGAGAAGAAGGAAAGGAGGAATAGGATGAGTTCTGTCTTCAGTGTGTGCTCTGCCTTCTGGGCCGCTGACACCAGCGTGTCGGCTACGATGGGGAAAGGCTCATGTTTCTGTACATGTAGCACCAAAACTAGCAGGGACCTGCCCTGTCTGTCTCGCTCCGTTTAGTCGCACGGCTTGATTTCCCTTTCCATTTCAAGCTAGGTAACCTGCAGAAGTGGTAGTTTATGGGTTTTACTTGAAAAGGAAAACTGAGCAATAGAAGGTAATCATTATTTGAGAATCGTATAAAACTGATCTTTTGGCAAATAGGACTTAAACATAGAGGCATGGGCTGGTTTCTGTGGATCAAAATCGGCACTGGTTCTAAAATAAAAAATTAACAAAAAATGTTTCCAAAATGATCAGTTAAGCTCCTCACGAAATCAAAAGTGATGTCACCAAACAAAGATACACTAATCTAATCATAAATCAGTGGTAAAAAAGACTTTTTATTTTGTTTGAGGTGGAGAATTTCTTAGAAATTGAAGCTTGTTTTAATCTTTCATGAATCAGAACTAATAAACTGGAAAAGCAAACATTATTGCATTCTTTGCTTTTTTCTCATATTCAAAGAGACTTAGCAGCTACCAGAACTATTTCTTTTTCTGTTTTCTTCAACAAAAACAAGTACCTCTTGCCTCAAACATTCGTGTGCAAAACTGTATTTTAAGTCAAGGTTGACATATTTTCTTATTCTCACACCGGCCCATGCCTAAGGACAGATTTAGGCCAATTGAACTCCAAACATGTGAGGACCATTGCATCTGCTCAGTTTGATTTCACTTCTGCTTCTTACTTCCTCTGACTTCTTAGCCAGGCTTTCCGAACTACTGCATCTATCACTTCAAAACAGAGCAAACGCTAGACAGACAGGCAGACGGATAACACAGGTGGGTTAAGACAGACAGACACGGTAAAAATCCTTGGCTGTGGTCTATAAAGCAATGTCAGATGCTTCTTGTTAAGCCAATATACAATCATTTTGTCCGGCACGATTCCCTACGTACCTCTAAATACATACTGTACATAAGGGTTCAGTCAGTTGCTCGGACATGGAGCCAAACCTCGGGCCGTGTAAGAGCACACAGCGAATCAGATGATAATAATTGCACAAAGAGGTATTCTGGAGGCCATGTCTACAGCAAAAAAAACAACAAACAAACAAACAAAAAAACAAAACACACACTCATTCATCCCCTCCCCCTCGGACACACACTCTCTTCACATTCGACATTAGGGGAGGGGGTTGATTTTCAGGCCATAAGGTTACTAGTTAGTCACTAGCTAGTTAGTTAGTTGGTTAGTTAGTATCAGAGGTGCATTGACTGGCATGGGGAGCCCGCTGCAGGGCGGAGGCTCCATCTTGCTACCAATGTGTGGTCGTCCTCGTCGGCGTGGTGTGCTGCGGCGCGCTCAGCCGCGGTAGATCTGTTTGAAGTGGTCACACTCGTTGCAGTAGCCCTGTTTCTCTTGGTTGGCATAGTGGTCGCAGCCCTGCGTCCGACACTTCTGCTTGGATTTTTCCTTGGGCGCCTGCGCCCGCCTGCCTGCTTCCCTGCCCTGGCCTCGCGTGTGGCACTCCGGGCAGAGGTCCGTGCAACCCGGGGACACGTTGCTGCAGCCGCTCCGCCGGCACTGAGTCTGGGTCTGGGTTTGGGATTGCTGCGAGGATCTGGGTTTAGCTGCTCGGTCACGCTTCAAAGCAGACGGGAGGGGCAGAGACAGAAGAAGGACAAGGTCAGCAGGAAACCAGGCGTGCAGAAAAGGATGTTAAACCTCATGCAGTTTAAAAGTTGTTCTTGTGGGAACGTTGCAAAAAGAAAAATAAAACAGCTGCAGGGTAGGAGAGGGTCTATGGATGGCCATCTGCAGGTTTTCTGGCAGAATTGTCTATTACCTCTATAGCTCCAATCGCTAACCAGCTTCCATTCTTATCCTGACATTATGATGCTGCCACCACCATGTTTCACCAATGATAATCGCATCAATCTGCATATAGCTCCATCCCTGACCTGTCCTGCTGCGGTTCTTGGTCTTCACAGAACAATTTTTTTCACTAATGCTCAGGCCTTCACATATTCTGGGAACAGATTACACAAAATCTAGATCTATTTTCTAATTGGCTGAATTCTAATCTCAGCCACAGATTGACAAAGACAGCAAAACAAAAGGTGGGGTAGAGACCTACCATGACCAGAGGGGGGGAGTGTGGCGTTCGATGCGCCACTTGATTAAGACGTGCGCTTTGCTCTTTGACGTAGCACTTATCACAGTAGCCCTCCAGCATCGCCTTGCCCACCGCCCCGCACCCGGACCCCCGACACCGCGTTGCGTTCTGGAAACCCGTCTCCAAACCTCGCCTGCTTTGGACTGGGGCAGGAGGGGGAGGAGTCAAGCCTGGAAAAAAAAAAGAAAAATTGGGAAACGACTTTAGTAAAAAGTCTGGTAGATATTTGGAAACCACTGCGACAGGCAGGGTGAGGTGATGTCAGGACTTACGGTGGTTGGTCTGATAGTCTACATAGCAAATAGTGCAGAAACCCAATTTCTCCGGAGTCCCAAAGAACTGGCAGCCGGATCGTTTACAGCGCTGGGCCAGAGGAGTCTGCCAGGCGGACGTGTGTGCTGGGGTGAGGGTGAGGCACGGCTGCTCAATGTCTCTGGCCTGGCTCCAAGCCGAGGCCTCAGTCCTGTGGTTGCCTTGCTGCGGCTCCCCCCTCTCTGGGGCCTGCTGCCTCTGCATGCAGGGCGGACACAGGCCGTTGAATATCCTGAACACCTCCTGCCTGCACATGCTGCATCGCTCCGTCTCCGAGTCGCAGCCCGCCCACTGGGTCCAGCCAGGGCCTTGGGCCGGGTGGGAAGCGATAGGCGCCCCGTTTGAGGCCGGGGGTCCTGTAGCAGCCGTTCCAGCCCCGGGGGGCCCGTGGTTCTGCCTGGCGTTGAAGCAGCGCTCGCAGAGGCCGTCGTGCTCCACGCTGAGGGTGAAGAGGCAGCCGGGTGTTTTGCACTTCATGGCGTGTGTTTCGCTGTAAAGGCTGAGGCTTGGTGCGGTGGGCGGGGCCGAGCGAGGACTCGACAGCACCACCCCTCTCCCAGAGGAAGAGCAAGGAGGGCTGCTGCTTCGGGCTCCTCTGGAGCTCACCTCCGTCTCCGCTCCTGCCATCATTCCCAGTCCTCCCTGAACGCCCTTGGTCTGAACCACCCCTTCTATCCTGGCCCCGCCTCCTGTGGTGGCCTGTCGCTTCTCAAAGCATTCGTGGCAATGAGGCTGCGTGTCCACGGAGACGTAGAAGGTGCACCTCGGGGTGGCACAGCGGATCTCGATGAGGGAGAGCTGGGACACAGAGAAAGGCGGCGGTCGCTGCGGCTGGGCGGCCCAGGCCTGCTCTTTGTCCTCCTGCCAGCGCTGGTACTCATGGTTGACCAGCTGCAGGTAGTCCTCCATCAGGTTCATGTCTTCAGGAAGGTTACCCTCATCCAGCCTAAGGAGATGGACATGGTTAACTTCACCTCGGTTTGAACAAAGTTAAAAGGAAAGGAGTTATAAATCAGACATACTTTGCAGCTTTCATGATCCACGCGGTTTCATGACCCAAACCGATGACGGGGATCTCTATGAGTTGCAGGTAGTCGTTAAGCAGCCGCTCTTTCTGCGTTTGCTCCTTCTCTGTCAGGAAATGGACCTTCAGCTCCTCGAAGCCCACCCTCTTAGGGTTGATCAGCGGAACAGCGCGGATCTCTACAACAACACAAGCCTGTTTTTATTCCTCCACACACACGCTGCATCACACCCCATCGGTTCCAGCCATCTCTCGTCCTACCTGGACCGCTGTCTTTGACGGTGATGAGGGGTGCGAAGTGTTGCGAGTCATAGCCAAGCACTATCGGGTATTTGTAGCACTCCGTGGGCAGCCAGTGTAGAGGCAGATAAATCCCACCCACATTCAGAGGGGAGATGGAGGAGCCAGATTTCATACTCCTCACCACCTGGTCTGTTGATGGAAACCAGAGAAAAATGTTTAGCAGAACTGATTCAAACAAAAACAAGTTAAAGATCTCACTTATCTTAAGGCAAAGGACCATAAAGCTCTTCATAAAAAAGATTAAACAGAGCTCCAACATGCAGCTTGTTTTATTTAGTACCTGCGATGACGACAATGGGTCTGCGGAGGATGTTGGAGAGGATGAAGATGTGAATGTCTTCCAGGGAGTCAAACTGGAGCCCATTGCTACTAGAGACCGGAGACGCCATCTTTACGATCTTGTCCCACTCGTCTTCCCAGTTCTGGGACATTGCAAACAAAACCAATCCAGTTATAAATGCCTCTTCATTAAGCCTCTATAGTACTTTTAACGCAGGGTTTGTTTAGTACCATAGTGGTGTATCTCAGTCCTGTCTGGGTGAACTCCTGCGACTGCAGCAGCTCCGCCTGGAAACGAGCCTTGAACACAGCCGTGTCCGTCTCTTTCAGAACGCCGTGGAGAGCTTTGCGGAGAACCAGGTCTGTGTCCTGGACGCCGAGCATGTACTGCGAAGCTGCATGCAGCAAACAGTTCCCGTCTCCTGCAGACAAATACAAACGCCACAGGAGATTAGTCGTTTATTTTGCACACTGGATTCTCAAAAGGTGCGTGCTCATGTTGAAATACTGGTGGACGACTGCGGTCTGTGTGCGCGCCGCTTGTGTGTAACTAAAGGGTGGGGATTTCCAGGCTGCTGGGCTAATCATCGCTATCTGGTTTGTAGATTATAACTTGACCCTTATATGTCTAAAAGCTCACACACAATCTTCAAACAGGGTTTTGTTCATAAAAAAAGCTTAGCTGAAATTAACTTCTATTGAAAATAACCTGCTTAATGTGTCTTTAAGCTGCTGGGTTGCTAAAAGGAAGCATTTGTGTGAGCAAATAAAAACCCTGGAATTTTATTTTGACTCCTTCAGCACTGCTGGGTGTTTTTTCTCATTGTGAAACAGGAGAGGCTGTATTTGTCAATGTGTGCAGCTCTGAAATACCCCTGTTGTCACACTAAACACAGGAATTTCCCTGCGCTAACTTCTGCTTTTTCTTTGCTTATGCATGCGAGAGTGTGTTTGATCCCTTGTCTGATCCCAGCTCATCAATGCTACTCAGCAGGTCCTGTACTTTCCACAGAGGCGTGACTTGGAGAAGAAGGAATGTTAGGGTTTTTAAACTACTGTTATCATCAGCCGATGAGGACGTGATTAATGGGCCCTCCGATAAGGTGAGCCCTCACATGTATGGCTTTTACAGATCCTGTGATGTGTACGTTTTGCTCTGCCTTGATGTCTATCCAAAGTAGCTCACAGAATTCAGTCAACAAACTTTAAAAATTAACATTCTTAAACATAAAAAAAAGTGTTTTTTTATCTAACACTTTAAAAATAAAATCCTGTTTTCCTTTAAGGTGGAATCAGAGCTCAGAGGAGAAAAAACAAAAAATGATTCCCTCCTATTGCAGACTAGCAAGCTGTTGTTGCATTTCCGTCCTCTTGCATCACACAATGCAGGGCTCTACGGTGGTAGAAAAAGAAGACATCCTCAGCAGCGACATACACAGACACACATTGTCGACAAAACGCCCTCTGACCATGAATCAAGAGCTGTCGCCCGAAGATGAAAGACAGTTGCTTCTGTCCCGTAAATCTAAGTATAGATTGCTTCACCATGCTTGGGTAGAAATAAATAAATAAAAGGAGTTTCTGCTGCCACTGCTGCTCAGCTGGCTGCAGAAACAACTGAAAAAACTACATCAACATCCTTATCATAACTCATAACTTCTGCAGCTTATTGACTAGATGCAGCCTTTTTAATTTACAGAGAATAAAAGGAATTAGATAACACTATAGTTTCATTTGTAAACTTTGGATACAGTGATGCTGCCCCTCCCCTACCTGCTGCTATTTCTCTCATACCAAAAAGACAGCAGTTTGGACTCGAAAATTCATAACATGAGAACTAAATTACCACTCCTTTGGAGCACTATTTGATAGGAGCAATAATTAAAGAACTCTGGATAAATAGCGCGCTATGTTCAACTCAAAGATGGAAAAATGTTGAAATATTCCATGCACAACCAAATGTAATAATCATACTATAACTGACATTAATACTTAATGCCTTTTTTGTGATAAATAAAAGCCTAACCCTACATGTTTTTGCTTTATATCCAGCAGGTTAAACGATGAAAATCTTTTGATGTTACTGATGGAAGTACACAACTTAAAAAGCCAAAAAGGGGAATCCAGGTTTTCGTGTGGCGATTTCTGAGCTAAAATCAGAACGATGCACATGAAAATCCCCCCCAAACTGTTCCAATCCTTAAAGATTCACAACCAGAAGGAGTATTAAGAGAACCGTCTTTGCTGCTAAAGTATGTGGAGTCAGTTCATTGTAGCTGAACCAATCCTGCGTGAAGGGGACACATGACAGACATGGGACGCTGCTTGGAGGAAAATCCCTCGAATGCGTTCTAGACGTCCGAGAGTAGTCACAATAAAATTAATGAGATCTCACTTTGCTGGGATGGAAAGAGGAAAACGGATATGAATCTTCTGCTCTAAATTACGCTGCAGTTTATGTTGGTTAATTCTATTTATTTGTACAAAATCCTAAGGGGGTTTGAGCTTCTAGTACAACTTTAAACAGGAAACAGCCTGGGAGAGGGAAAAAGAAGGATTTTTGGGAGCTATTTTAAGTAAAAGGAGATGTTGGAAGCTCTCTGGAGGACTTTCGTCATTTTATTTCGTCACATTTTCTCAGCTGAGGTCCAGTGACTCAGCATCCATCAGTCAGATCCTCTCTGAATATATATCTATGTGTGTATGTGCGTCCGTCCTCTGCTCAAAGTCACGTCTGGGTCCTTCAACGTTAGACTGTCCGGCTCTAACATTCTGCCTCATCAAGCCAGGAAATTTCACTCAGGTTACTTACTGGCAGCCAAAGTCAGCCGGGGGTTTGTCATCAATAAAAAAGGTCTAACTAAATGAGGAACTGCGCCCTGATGAAAGCTGCAGTGAGTCACTTGGGTTATTACTTCAAAATCAACAGGGACCCTTTGGGAGAAAACATTCAGTAACTCGGATTAGGTCAGTAGAGGAATTTCTCACATGAGGAAGGAAGATTTTTTTTTTTTTTTTTCCGATGGAAACTTAAAATGTTAATGTCAAACTTAAAATGCAGACTGATTTCCACTTCCTGTTTTTTTTTTTTTTGTTATTAACACTACAGCTGGTGATTTTCTTGAAAATGCCCTGCTTATCTCTCCCTTTAAAATTTATGGACTGATGGAGTAAATTCTGGCAGGTATGCTTCAGATCTAAAGGTCTCTACACACTTCTTGCGCAACCAAACGCCCAAACAGAACAGTCGAGGGACAAACCAGCAAAGCTGTAACTACTGGAAATACTTTGGTCTGAAAGCTCACCGGCAGTAAACAACACGCCACTGAAGTTTCCAGTGCAGAAACTGCGATCAGAGGCACCGTGGCGCCCTTTTGTGAATGTTTGCCTACCCCGGGATGTTCCCGAGGTGCAGGGCGCACGCAACAGAAAACATGACTTAGCAGCGGGGCGCCATGCTCAGCACATGAAGAAAAAAAAAACATTGGTGCTGCTATATGAGTCTCTGAAAGCGGAACTCGTGCACCTTAATTGTTGTCATTTACAGTAACCCTGCTTGTGAGTAATGACATCTGAGAATTTCAATATCAAAAACCCATTGACTCATAAGCTAAAAGCTTCTGCTGTAGAAAATGAAACAAAGGCCACAGGCGGTAAAAATGGCAGCAGTTCCTAAAACTGTTAAACTTCCACATTCTTGGTGCAAAAATAATCTAAAAGATTATGTGACAAAAAAAAACATCAGAAACATCATACTATCAAAACCTAAAATGTTATCACACAGGGCGGTTTCCCACCAGTTTGATGCTCCTTACCGTTGGTGCGCAGCGGCACCATCTTCTTCAGTTCCCGACACCAGTTGAGCTTCTTCTCCTGCTCCAAAGACGCCTGCATGGCCCGGTCCAGGATAGCGGCTTGCACCACCTCCCTGAAGGCCTGGGGGAAGTGGTTCATGGCGATCATCTCCAGCGTGTAGCGGTGCATCCCCCGCAGGTGGTGCATGAGGCCCCCGCTGGTGGCGGGCTTCACCACGTCGTTGGGGACGCGCTGACGGATCTTCACCGCTTTCAGTAGGTTGGACACGAACAGGAATTTGGGGAGGAAGTTCTGGCCCTGCGACATGGCGGACGGACGGGAGAGTGGAAGGAAGGGAGGAAGAGGATCGAGGAGGAGGACGAGACACTAAGCGGCGATGATGGAGCAACGTGAAATCTGGACAGAAAAAAAATGGAGGAAAAGGAATGGTTATTTTACAGTGGCAGATTATTCAGATGGGAATTTTTCGTGGAGAATCCCCTCGAATTAAATGAGACACTAAACACATTTTAATTTATAGCCTACTTCGGAAAGCACCTATAAACAGAGAAACATTTATCATTGAGTTTATGAGATGTTTTTTTTTTTACTTTTAAATGAAATTTGTTCATTAAAACAGAAAAAAAAAACAAAGGTTGCTTTATAGTCTCTCTTTTGAGAGTTTTACCCAACAGGGTGTGCCACTGTCCTATGGAGCTCAGACCCTCCCAACAATCATCTGGTGTTTTCCAGACTTTCACCCTGGGCCATCCAGTGTTTTCCAGGCTGATGGGAAGGTCACAAGGTCCCCTCCCTTCACAACACCCCGCCACTTTCAGGTCTTTGTTTAAACATATCAGGGTGTTAAGTTAAGACACAATAGGATCCTGTTACCAAGAGATAAAACACCCTCTTGTACTAACACTTATTAATATGTAACACTTTATAATCGTTTATCTTTAGAAAAAAGAAAGAACATTGATTCTTGTTGCTCATAAAAAAGTCATTGAGCATATTAATTATTACAGCTTTAATCATTTTTCTAATTAAACCTTAGTAAGCAACATCACAGCAACAGGTGAAGAAGGGGAAGCAGCATTTCAATATTTTCTCTGCTACGACTATTATAGCAATAACAATTGAATCAACTATTAGCATCATTTAATAATTGAAGTTTATTGATCTCACATTAGAGAAATTTACCTCTGCATTGAACCCATCCGCTTGGGGAGCAGCTCTTGGTGTATATCGAGGCTCGATGCAGGCTGCCTTTCTAAAAAATACACCTATATAAAGTTAGAGGGTCGGATTCGTCATTGAACTAGTCATGTGACCCAGAATGCCTCTTTATTGCAGCCTGAGCGCCTCTTAAACTTGAAAAGTTTCTGTTAGGCAACAACACAGATAAAATACTTACCAGTTCAGACATATTTCTAGTTATCTGATGTAGGATTTAATCTAGATGGGTAAACGCGACCCGGTCTTTACAAGTAAATCCACGGAATGATGCTAGTTGTCTTAAGCAGCGCGGAACCTGGACGTTACAGCTCTAGTGCCCCTAGTGGCTGAAAGTTATACAACACTGCTTTAAAAGATATTGAACTGTAGAAAGTTTATGATGTTTCCCTGTTGCTAACTGTAATTGCGTTGATTTTATCTTCTACCTAAATGATCAAACTTATTTTCCCAACTTTAAAAGCTGAACCAGAATGCTTGGCTTGATCCAATTTATGCTCTATTGAGAGACAGAAACTCTTTTCAAAGTCTAACACTGTTTTCCCCATTCGGTCTCTAGCGGCAGTAGTTTTAGGGATCAGTTGATTTGAAGCTAAATGTATTTTTTCACAAAATTACAATTCTACTTTTATAGTGGTGAAAATACTTCTTCTGAGCCTGCTGAATGGGCAGTGCTCAGCCCGTATTTCTCTGTAGTTTTAGGTTTTTGTTTATTTCCAGACATCTTCTTAAAAGATGTGATCCGGGGAGGATTCAGAGTAGAACCGCTGCTCCTCCACATCAAGAGGAGCCAGTTGAGGTAGTTTGGGCATCTGGTTAGGACGTCTCCCTGGTGAGGTGTTCCAGGCATGTCCCACTGGGAGGAGGCCCAAGGGGAGACCCGGAACACGCTGGAGGGCCTTGGAGCACCTTGGGATTCCCCGGAGGAGATGGCCCGAGTGGCTGATGAGAGGGACGACCTCAGATAAGCGGAAGAAGATGGATGGATCTTATCTAAAGTACTTTTAACCCTTTATAGAGCGCTCACTTAAATGGTTTGAAAATCAAAATGTCAAGCCAATAGTTTTACTGGAATTCAGGACATGACCTTATTGCCTTTGTTACATTAAAAAAATATGGATATTTTGATGGTAACAATTTCTGTGAATGTAATAACAAGAAACGCTGACTTACCCGAATAAATTAATAAAAAAAGAGCTTTTATAAGAAATTCATGAAAAACCCTGAGAGTGAAAGAAACACTTTTTTTTTGGTACAACATAATCTTAGAGGCATTAATGCTTTTACTGACACTTACATTTTTTACTTTATAAACCTAATATTATTGTTAACTAGGCTTATTAGCATGTTAAATTTACTTAGCTTTTCAAGTAGCTTTTTACCTTTTTTTTTACTTGTTAACTTTCTTTTATTTCTCGACTTAATTTACAGTAGGTAATATATCACTCAAGGGCTGATCTAATTGGTGAAATGCCAAAATAAGACGTACAGCCATGTAGCAGTATATTTGCTGAATGGCTGGATATAGATCTTGTGCTTCTAGATCTCGCTGAGGGGAGGATGGGACTCCATTTGTAAGGGGTGTGCAAGGGATCAAAAATGGTAACTTGCCCTATAAAGAGTTAACTTAAATGACTGTTAGATGGAATAGGTATGTGGTTTATAAACCAATAATAAACCTAATGCAGGCTTTTACAAACTTTTTTCTTGAATTTTACCTTGATACCAGTTATTAGGACATATCTTCACCAATATCATAAATTTAGATTTTTCTTCCTGCACTAAAACTGTTATTCTTTACTTCTCTATATAGGAGTTGGGCATGGTGGGTTTTAAAGGACTATTTCAACTAAATTAAAGGTCAGCAAGTGATTTTTTTCAAATGTCCACCCTTTATCCTCACATCAACAGGCTGACAAAGAGTCAGTGGATGCTGCTGAAGTTCACAACCACCTGAAGGCTAAAGGGGAGCTTCTCTCTCCAAGCAGCAGCAGGTGCAACAGCATCCAGGCCCTGTTAAAGTCACTCACTTCCAGGCAGCAGCAGCAGGCTGGATGACTGCTGCCCCAGCAGCTACACAGGCTGAGGGGTTAGCATAGCTAGCTACACACACACACGAATAAAGAAAAAAAAAGACAACAACAGGAGACTTTGCTGACGTTAAAGGCTTACGTAATTGCAATGACAACTACCTCTGAGACAATGTAGTGATCGGCGGCGGTTTGGATAAAAGAGAGCTGCTGAAATTAGTCCGTTTAAACGCTCCTTCCTCCTTGTTATCCGCTCCTAGGGGGTACGTCTTTGTAAACAATGGCTGTCAAAGCCACTGTCGTGAGCAGGTTTTTCCTCCATGTCCCCAGAAACACGACCAACATGTTACTCAAGGCCCCAAAAAAACACACATGATGTGTCCGTTAAGTCCCAGCCCCTCGACGGGGGAAGAATGTAGTCCAGGCCAAAAAGGCAAACAGGAGGAGGGGGGAGAAGTGTTGTCTTACCTGTGTAATATGTCGGGGGAGGGGGGTGGGTGATAACAAAGCCTCCCCGGATGCTCAGGCTAGTCCACTCTCAGCCACTTCACTCAGCCTCACCGCTGCGGCTCTCGGCGCCATTCAAGCCTCTCTTTTTTTTTCTCCCCCCTCCACTATAACGTCTTATTCAGAGCTCTGGTGGCTCGGAGGAGTCCTTTCGAAAGACTACACTCATCCGCTGGTGCTCGTTTTTAAAAAAAGGAGAAAAAAAACTCCAAGTCAAGGGGATTTCCACACGGGGACTTTCCGTCCACCCATTTTACTCTCTCAGTCACTAACTGCAGTTCTACCGCACCGCCGCTAGGGGGCCCCTATCTGACTGTCTGAAGCGATACTGAAAAGCATATCCCACCTACTGAGCACAAAGGAGCCTTCAGTGAATGAGAGAGACAGGCCGCGTCACACTCTATTTCATGAGACAGCCTTAGAAATAAATCATTAACCCCCCTAAAAAAAAAAAAAAGAAAAAAGATCAGCCTCAACGAATGACTCAGGGATACGAAGAAAAAGAAACATTTAATTCATAAAATAAAAAAAAAAAGGCTTTGACTCACAAGCTGCTTTGTGCGTTTTTAATTGACATTTCAGTGTTTGATTTCATTATCATAAATATATTATTTTGACTGTTTGGAAATTATGCTCAGAGGATTTAGAACAGAATTCCTGACATCTGAATTCTTATTTAATTCTTTCCTGTTTTTTCTATCGATTTGTGGGTTACTCAATTATTTATTGCAGGGGTCTTCAACATTTTCCAGGACAAGGGCCCCCAAACTGATGGCTCGATGAAGCGGGGACCCCCTAATTATATATATTGTATGAAATTGCGTTATATCAAACTGGTTCTATAGTCACTCTATTACAAATGGAGTAATGTAGCGAAAGTAATTTCGCCCTGGGATTATTAAAGTATTTCTAAATCTAATTAATGGTTGATGGGACAGGTGTTGTGAATGAAATGGTGCCCAGCTTGAAAGAGCTTCTGTGTGTCGCTGAATGTGTGCATTGATGACTGAAAGATATCATGAAAGATAAAGATATCTTCTGCCTCCATTTATCTGTTTACAACAGTGTGTTGAATTCATTTCAATGTGTATTTAAAGACATTGGAAAGAACTGCAAGGGGGGATATTAAAAAAAAAATCTAATCAACCAAAACTTTTGAGACCCTCAAGCAGCACCTGGACCCGTAGGGGTCGCGGACCCCTTGTTTAAGACCTATGATTTAGTGTTTTATGCATATTCAAGAGGCAGTTTCCTCTTCAGAATCAGAATCAGAAATACTTTAATAATCCCAGAGGGATATTACTTAATTATTTCTGTTGATCGTGTTAAGCTGAATAAACCCAAAATACAATAAAACTGCACCTGTGTAACTTAGATGTTCCATACATTAACAAAGGAAATCTAGTCAAAGTATGTTTAGGGTCTGGATACGTGCAGAAACAGATATTATACTATGGAAACGCACATTTCAAGATTTTAATTCCCTGCCCCATTATCTAAATGTCATAATCATACATCCATCCATTCATTTATCTATTGATCTATCCATCCATCTACCTGTTCTTTTATTCAGCCTTTATAATTATGTAATGTTGAACTTTTGTAACTGGTCTTGCAGTGGACTGAAAACTTTACTAATTTGAATTTTGAAATTTTTTTTTCTCAACTTGATCTACATGAGAAAAACGAAAATGAGACCTTCCCACATTTTCAAAGGTGCTAAAACGTTATCTGCTTATCTTTTGGTTTAAAATCTTTCACATGCAGGTGGCTTTTTAAGAAATGCATGCAACATTCAACCCATCCGAGAGTACTATATAAGCAAAAACACTGCATACGTTGAAACCCACTCAAATATTGGCACTTCTTTTGGTTAAGGTGGTTAACAGACTTTCTTTATTACTGGCTATGTCAGACTGTGACAAAGCCCATCAATGATCTGTCTTTGGCTCCATCTCTCACAACATGACTCTCAGAGATGATACGAATGAAACAACAAGAGAAGCAATGTTTTCAAAGCCTTTATCTATTTAGAAAATAACTAACACAATTCAGTAAAGGGCAGGAATTTATTAGAAAAATCAGCATTTAGTTTGTTGCTTTGATTTTTTTAAATAAAGTAGCATGTAATGTTACTGTTAAAAATAAAAATATAGGCCAGATTTTGCTGTCTTTATTTGAGAAAAAGTTAAAAAGTATGTCATGTTAAACAGAGAAAAAAAACAAATTCTTAACCACAATTTCATAAAAGACAAACCCTTCAGCTAATATCACATTCCAGAAGAAAATTTGTTCTTGGAAAATATAAATGACATCCAGAAATATTTAACTTACCTGTAAAGATTCAGGCTGAAACCATCTGTCGTCTCATCAATGGGAACACTGGCCCATGTCTACTTGTAGATGTTCATTGCTCATTTTCCACTTTCCTTTCCCTTCTCTGAGGAAAGCCTCCCGGTTCCCTGTTCTTCCGGACAAACACTGGAAACCACAGCTCTGATGAAGGGAACAGAAACCTCCATATCAATCACCTGACAAGCATTCCTAAAGAATGAGCTCACTGACTCACCTTTTAAAGCTCAATTCTCATTGAGTCACCTTCTACATAAAAAAAAAAAAAAATCAGAAGTCACACAAATCTTCTACAGATTTTATGTTAAAAGTTCCACATTGGGTCACATGCTGCTGAGTCGCTGTCTGTGATCAATACAGACTTGTTAATGGTTGCAATAAAAGCAGCACATCACAAGTACATGGAAACCCCCAGAGGAGACAATTGACCCACTGATCTGCTCCAAATCAGCAGTTCTCAACGTCTACCCGCTCACTCTTGTCGGAAATGTAGAGAAGAGGTCATCAAAGTATGGATGAAAGAAGGTTCAGTGTATTAAAAGACACAACCACTATTGAGCATTTTTTCTATGGATAAACTTAACATGCACAAGTGCACCCTCACAAACAATTACAGGTGCTTGGCTCCAGGTACTCAGAGATTCACTTCCATATAGAAAGCCCAGATTCATATCTTCAGGTAACACAGAGTATATGTCAGACTTAATAATACTACTTCAGTGATAGTTTCAAGGTGTTGCTTTATTGTATATCTCGTACCATGTCTTTCGGTTGTGCTGTTCTTTTTTCATCTCGTTACAGGTGATGAAGCAGACTGAAAATGTTTTGTCATTGTCTCCTTTCTACCTCCTCTTTCTTTCTCTTTTTTTTTTTTTTCTTTTTTTCCTTTTTCTTCTTCTGTTTTTCTGCTCTATTTACATTGGAGTGTCCATATAAACTGTAAAACTCCCTGCATAATTATAATAAAGCAATTTATATGCATGAAACAAGTGGAGCAATATGGCAATTGCCATACTGCTACACTTCTGAAAGTAAAATCTGTTGGGCTCTTTTTGGCATCAAGACAATTATTCTTATTGCCACATTGCCAGACAGGACACTGTTCAAAAAAACAAAAAACAAAAAAACACATAAACTTCATTTTTGACACAGACGTTCATAGTCTAGAAAATAAAATTCAACTTTGTCATTACACTGTCACAAGTACAAAGCATTGAATTTCACACTCTATATTTAAGCCATCCCCTTGGGGAGCAGTGTGTTGCCATTGTGCGGCGCCCTGGGAGCAGTGTGGGGTTAAGGGTCTTACCCAGAGTGGCAGTCTGTGGGAGTGGGGCTTGAAACTCAGAACCTCAGGGATACAAGCGCAATGACCCAACCACTTAATATTTTTGGAACAGTTTTACAAGCCTCTGACAATAACCTCCAGTATGTTTGGCCCTAATTACTGCTAAAAGACTTGCTGTGAAGGAGTGAGATTTGTTAGGTCTCCTTAATCCCCTACAACATTTCAGCTCTGCCTATAAATGTTCTAAGAGGCGATGATCAAGTCTCCTTCACTCTTTCCTTTAACATAATCTGATAATATTTATTATTATTGTGGGAGTGTTTTACCTAGTGGTTAGAGCAGTGCACTTGTGCTCTGAAAAGCTTTAAGTACCCGGTTCAATCACCACAGCCTGCACTCTGGGCCTCTGAGCAAGACCCTTAACCCCACACTGCTCCCCAGGTGCCGCACAATGGCAGCCCACTGCTCCCCAAGAGGATAGATTAAATGCAAAGTTAAGTGAGATTAATAAAGTTCAATTTCTAATTTCTATTAGCTCAGCTCTTGAGATATTGCCCTACTATTTCCACTACATGTTCTTTTCTTATGATGCCTCTTTTTTTTTTTTGTTAAGTTCACAAGCCTCTTCTGCAGCAGGAAATACCAATGACAAAATGCTGACACTCCTTTCATTTTTGATGCCCTCAAGGTTACAAAATCCCCTGTTTTCCAGACAGAATGGCGGCCATTATGGTCAAACACCTCAATTGTAGTTTCATCAGAGCTCAGCATGAGGTATCTCTTCAAAGGAATTTGACCTTGATTGCATTTGCAAAATGTAATTGGTATTTTTCTGTGGTTGGGGTGGTGGTAATGACAGCTGCCTCTCTAAATGGCCTTTCAGCCCAGGTCTGTGCAGATTACACCATGAGTAAAAAACACATTTTTACCAGCTTCTGAAAGCATCTTTACAAGGTCTTTTACTTTAAATACTCTCATTTTACAATAAAACAATTAGTCTCTAGGTCACAGGACCCATCTCTATAGTAAAAAGTGTGATGGATAGTTGCTCCCATACTGTATATGTTTACATTTAATGGTTTGAGCACAACATGTCACCTACTGATATCTGTAAATTGTACCAAGGGTTTGAACCGGAGTTGCGAAGTCCACTGTAGTCTTTGAGATTACAGAATAATAAGGAAATAAAAATATCTAAAAGATAATTGTAGTTTTCATGATGTTTGCCTGATAGAATTCATTGTTATTATGATCCAATCTCACCTAAAGCATGAACACCTCAGATTTATCAATACAGTAGATGGTAAGAAATAAAATTCAGTCAAGAAACTGTTTAATGGTTAAAATCATTATGAAAATAAAAAATTACCTTCTATTAATATGAGCACTCACACGGTCTGGACGGTTCAAATCATAAATATAAATACAAGACAATACAGAAATCCTTATTATTAAAAAGCCTGTCAGTACAACCCTCTTTTCACCAACACTTCAGGCAAGTCAAATGATTTTATTATTTTCTATTTCACTTATATTTTATTTTATTCTTGTAACTATAACTTCTTATAATCAAATAGGCATTTTTTTAAAAAAAAAGCTATGAAATCAAAACATTTTTAACCTTTTTTATTTACGGT